CTTCCGATCCTTCCCGGAGATTGGTTTGTTGTTGTAGTTCCCCTTAACATTTGTGTTGTGTTGTAACCATACAAATAAAAGTTGCTTTTGTTTCCGCTTGTTTTATAATTAGTTCCGGTATCACAAAATCTATTGATGTTGTTGTAACCAAGATTGATGAACGTCTTTGGCACCACAAACTTGGTCATATGAATGAGAAATATATTAAGTCCCTACTTTCTAAGAATAAACTTCAAGTTTTGAAGTCTATAGGTTTAGACTTCTCTAAACATAATATGTATGAAAAGCAGAAAAAAATTTCTTTCTCCAAAGACAGGTTAATGGTGAGGTCACAGAAGCTAAAGTTAGTGCATATTTGCATATGGGGTCCTACTCTAGTTCAATCCATTAGAGATTCTCACTAATTTGCCACTTTCATTGATGATCACACCATAAAGATATGAGTTTAGTTCTTAAAATATAAATATGATTTATTTGAGGTGTTTAAGAAGTGGAAGGTCATGGTAAAGAACAAGATAGACTCGAGACCAAAGCATCACAGACCACATAATGATGGTGAGTATCGTAATCAAAGTTCAAGAGTTGGTGTGCATTGGAGGGGATCAGGCATGAGTTTGCTATTCCAAGGACACCACAACATAATAGTGAATCTGATTACATAAATAAAACTATCATAGAGCATGATATGAGTATAAGTTTGCATGCAGACTTACCAAAGCAATTTTGGGCAGAAGAAGTAAACAGAATTGTTTATCTAATCAATTGTGGTATGTCAATACCTTTGAAGAAAAACTTACATGAAGCAATCTAGATGACAAAGAGGTAAATCTGCCACTTAAATGTATTATGCATATGTTCAAGTTGATACAGGGTCCAAAAGTAAACTTGATTCAAATATATTAATTTTACTTTCATTAGGTATAACTCAGATGAATTTGAGTACAAATTATGGGATTATCATAATAAAAAACACATCAAGAGTAGGGATGCTGCTTTCAATGAAATGATGATGGACAAAGACGGAAGCAAAACTCAGGATTGCACGCATGTTACTTCTAAAGATTCCAAGTATGTTAAGATAAAGACATTGATAATCATGAAGATGGAGAAAGAAGTGTTCAATCTGATAAAGCACGGGAAGTTCCTCAGTCACCTATTACTGAAGTCCAGAGGTCAAACATAATCACGAGACCTATACAAAAGTATTCTCCTTCTCTGCGTTATTTGTTGTTAACAGATAGTATTGAATCAAATGGCTATGAAGAGGTCACTCAAATTGAAGATTCAAGAGAGTGAGATATTGTCATGGATGATAGATATAGTCACCGATGTTGAATTAAACTTGGGGTTTGGAAGAACTATTAGATGGAAAAAAAGCATTATGCAAAAAGCAGGCTGTAGTGTAATGATTCAACAGCAGAAATGAGTGAACTACACTAAAATTCTATCATGTAGTAAATATGACAAATGTCACTATTATGTTGAGCTTAGTAATAGAAGAAAATTTTTATCTAGAGCAGACGGATGTAAAGACAATCTTCTTACGTAAATCTGAAAACGAAACTATGTATGATGCAATTGAATCGGTATAAGGATTTAGGGAAAGCAGACTTGATCTGCCTATGACTTAAAATAGGCCCCAAGCAGCGATACAGGAGGATTGACAGCTTCATGCAAGACGGTGAGTATATGAAG